ATTTAGAGGAAATAATCATTTGCATGCTAAAAGTGTCTCCACTTTGTGTTAACCACGCTTGGCTGAACATAAATATGAATTTAAATATTATCACACCAACCAAATTCAGTTGGTTGGTTCTTAAATCGTCAAACAGGAGACATTGCTATGGGATTACCAGTATCTCCGCTAGTCGCCAATCTGTTTATGCACTCATTAGAAACAAATGCAATTATGAGATGCCCTATTCCCCCAAAGATGTGGTTAAGATACGTAGATGATACCTTCATCATAATCAAACATAGTTTGTTAAATGAACTTTTTCACTGAATAAACAATATGTCAGAAACTATCAAGTTCTCCAAAGAGGTTGAATCCGATGAGAATGAGTTGGCGTTCCTGGATTGTTTAGTAAAAAGGAAATTAGATGGCAAATTTAAAATAAACATTTTCAGAAAGCCGACAAATTCGGATAGATACCTAGATTACTATTCAGCTCACCCATTTACCACCAAAGTAACTGTGGCCAAGAATCTGATCAACAGCGCCAAACGTCTAGTTACTGAGGAGGAAGATATTAGCAAGGAATTAAAATTGGTTCAATCCACTCTTGAATCAAATAATTATCCAAAATCCTTCATAAATAGATATTTAAAATGTGAAGATAAGGATGAATCAAAACCTGTTGCTAAGAATTGGGTTAGTACAGCGGTGATTCCTTACCGCAAAGAAACATCCGACGAAATAAAGCGAATCCTTAACGACCATAACATACGAGTGTATTTTCGTGCATCAAACGCCTTACGCTCATTACTGGTTAAGGTTAAGGGTAAAATAGAACAAGAAAATCAGCAGAATTGTGTATTCCAGATCAATTGTGGGGATTGTAACGCCGTATATGTAGGAGAAACTTCCAGACAGGTAAATATAAGAGTGAAAGAGCATAAACAAGGTTTAAAGGTGGTTCCAAAGACCTCTGCAGACTTGAAGAAGCTAGAAAACAACTCAGCGATTGCACTGCACTGCACTCGATAGAAACGGGACACAAAATCGACTTTGATAAGACTAAGGTTTTACAGAAAGGTTTTGGTTCATATAAAGAAAGACTGACTGCAGAAGCCCTACATATATGGGTAAATCCCAACAGTTTGAGCAGACGTGAAGGTGTGATCTTAGCTGACGCATGGCAAATCCTGGCTAATAAATAAATTGGATATGTATCAACAACTAGTCACACTTGATCGAATTCCCGACTGTCTAAGTCTTCTTATGGAGAGAGTAACAAATTGATAAAATTATATTATATTTTTACTAGTTGATCATGGATTGATATCCATTAGAGAACTCAAATGAACTGTCGTCAAGATTTGACCGAATAGTTCTAAAATATTTGGGCGCCGAGTGAGAAGTAGACATTTGTAAAAAAAATTACATTTGTAATATCTCAGCGATTTCATCATTTCAATTTCGCTGAGATTTTACAAATATAATTTTATAAATGTCTACTTCTCACTCAGCACTCAATTATTTTGCAGCTATCCGGTCGAATCTTGATCACAGTTCATATGAATAATAATAATATGGTAAATGTTTTGAACGAAATTTATAACGATGATTATGATAATAACAAAATATTGACAATAAGGTTTATGCAGGTGAAAAGAATAACAAAGATAGTGTATGTATATATGTAGACAATTCAATAAATAAATTAGGTCAAATCTTAAGAGGTGAAGTGGAACGATAATCAGAGTTTAAATAAATATTATAAAAGTACGAAGGAGATGGAGGATAAGAAAGGGTGGGAGGGTTTTGAAAAGAATTCATCTAGGCCATGGGAGAGACAAAGGTAGAACAAACTTCTTTTGTGTGCAAAGACTAGGATTGTTCTCTCGAATTCCCATATCTTCGGCTAGGTGTAAAAGACGGGTTCTGATTCCAATCGAAAGACTCGATGGAATACGATAGATAACTTTGAAAGCACTATTTTTGTCCACTTGGTGACCGCTATCAATCAAATGAGCCAAAATAGAACTTCGTATGGATTTTATTTGACCTTTTCCGAACCATGAAGGAAGATGCTCATTAATGCGTTTGTTAAGCTGTCTAGTTGTTCACCTTATATAGCTTTCTCCACAGGAGCAACTAAATTTATAGATACACATCGAAGTGGCACAGCTAGGTAGCTTATCTTTCACTTGAGCAATCAAAACTGATCGGCTGAAAAATGACAAACAAAGGGTGGCGGCGGTATAAGTCCGTTTTATCACTGTCGGTAATCTCAGATGTAAGACTTCGCTATACACATCCCCATTAAATTGCAGTTTCATGAACAGTTCTGTGTGTCGGTGGTACAGTGGTTGGGACTCTCGCCGACCATGCAGATGGTCCGGGGTTCGACCCCCTACAGACGCACACCTGATATCAAAGGTCGGCCAGCGAAATTTGGGCTACCGATATCGCATGCTGAGAATTCCAAACCTGTACTGAAAATACGGTGTGGAATCAAGCTGTAATCACAAATAATAAATAAAATAATAATAATTTAACTGTTGTCAGTTTTTCTTTATTGTACCTGATATTCATGTGTCTCCTTACAGATCTACGAGGATAACCCATTTGGACCAGCGTATTTTGCATGTATTCTAGCTCATTTTGTAGGGAGTCATCTGTACAGATACGTCTCGCTCTGCTTGTGAGGCATCTAAGCAAATTGACTTTACATCGGATTGGTACAAAACTGAGGAAATGTGTATATTGTCCTACAGATGTAGGTTTTCTATAGACATCTCTCTTGAGTGAACCATCCTCTATTCTGCTCAATTGGACGTCAAGGAAATGTAGTCTACCATCATGTTCTTCTTCACAAGTGAAGATGAGCGATAGATGTGCATCATTAAACATTTTTAACATTTCATTCTTGTCAGTTTTCACATCAAGAATAATAAACGTATCATCAACATAACGAAAATAAGAATCATTTTTTTCTATTACTTGTCTCAATGGACCATTTTCAATCTTGGCAAGAAAGAAATCTGCCGAAATTGGCCCCAATGGAGAACCCATGGCGATACCGTCGATTTGCCTGTAGTAAAGGTTGTTGAATGTGAAGTGTACCTTCATAGTACATCTTAAAAGCAACTCTTTCAGACTAATAACTGGAATACCGATGTCCATCTGTTTTTGTAGCATCTGTTAGCATCTGAATTCCACAGTTTCCATAAGTGGTACATTGGTAAACAGTGATGCTACATCCAAGGAAAGCATTTGCTTCCCATTTACATTGATATCATCCACGTTAGCAATAAATTCAAAAACGTCTTTAACATTATGATTTACTACCATCTTGTGTAACGGTTGGAGGACCGACTGACCACACCACCTCCACCCTTTACATATAGTGAATCCCATCGTTTTAGCATTCCACACAGATCAATTCAACATGAGGCACAAATAACTGAGGAGGAGAAGGGATAATGGATTCACTTTCATTGTGAGATATGCGATTCAGTAATACTATAGACTTCAGTAGAATCTGTGAAATCGTATTTTTCTCCTTTGCTAACAGAAAGGTGATGCGAATTAGTGTCTGAAGAGTTGTGCATACCTGAAGACAGTTTACTGAGTGTTGGCTTCATTTCAAAGCAATTCATGTCAAAGAAAGAAATACTTGTGTAATTATCGCCTCAGATTACCTTTATGTGGAACTCCTCACAATAAACACCGTTTACCAGTCTTAAGCAATAAATTCACAATGTGATGAAATGTGTGAGAAAAAAGAAAGACTAAATGTGAACTAAGTGAGACGATGTTTGAAGAATACTCACTGAATCATTTTTGAATTTTTATTCGTTCGTTACACACTTTTCACACCTTATTTCCCTGATTTTACTTTCATTCTCTTCACTCAATAGGAGTCGAACCTAACAAGTGAACAAACGCATTACTTATGACGAAATATTCAACGTTGGTGAAACAGATGACAAAAGCAAATACTTGATATCGTTTATTTAGAGTTATTTGAGAGAATAATAGTATGATATTTTTGTAATCCAGCGCCAATCACCATCAACGGGAGGGATTTGAAAGAAGTTTCTTCATTCACTTATTCAGGGAGTAATGTCTCAACTACAGGAGGAGCGGACGAGGATGTCAAATCGAGAATCAGGAAGGCGAGAAATACATTCATCTACCTGAAACCAATCTGGAAATCTTCGTCACTCAACTCAGCATCAACAACAAAATTCGGATTTCCAATATACAAACGTCACTTCAGTTCTTCTATACGGATCAGAAAGTTGGCAGGTCACAAAGAATATTTTAAACAGGTTGTAGAACTTTATCAACAACTGTCTTCGCCCTATACTGAAGATCAGATGGCCAGAAAGAATCACCAACAAGAAACTATGGGAACAAACAAAACAAGAACCAATCACCCAACAAATATGCAGGAGAAAGTGGAGATGGATTGGACACTCGCTGAGGATGCCGCTGGGTGACATCGTGAGTCAGGCCATAGCTCGAGTGGAAACTGAAAGGGAAGTGGCGAGTGAGACGTCCGAGGGTGACATGGAGGAGATCGTGTGAAGAGGAGTTGAAACAGTATAGACTAACATGGATGCAAGTGAAAACTACAGCGGAAGACAGAAGCAAGTGGAGACGTGCAGTTGAAGCCCTATGTTCCACTAGGAACCCAAGGGAACAATAATAATAATAATAATTTTTGTAATTCAGTGACATCTGATTTCATACACTGGCTAGTTGGGTATACTAATGTGATGTAGAAAAATCATGTGATGTTAGGTAAAGTTTCATACTATTTCTAGCGTAAATTCATATGGAGAGAATCACTGGACTGTGGATATATATGAACACTATACATTAATTGCCTTCCTGTTTGTTATGTAATCAACCACAATTGTTTACCTGATGAGCGAAGTTCATTCACACTTTATCTTTGTCATGATAAATCAAAATAAATATATTTTGTGGACTGTTTCTTCCGCATGCATTGCAGGAAAAGAAAAGATAAGAATATATTATAAATACGTTGAAGTCAACGTTCACCTTATAACACCACGCAGAGGGAATCAGGTAAATTTATTATTGGATTACTATTCATAGATTTCTGTTTTTCTCATGATTTTGAGTTCTCTGTAGGGTGAACATGTTCCCTTAATACCCTAACGCCTACTTGCTGCTTCATTTCGCAATTAAGACCCATTTGTTTCCGAATGCTATTGCCGAATGGCACGATAAAGATTTCGTCACGTGAAAAGATAGACTCCACCAGGTTTCACCTGTTTTCATCTTCTCACTGGCAGATATGACCCTATTCTGATATGGAAAGCTTATGTCATCATAACCTGTATATTATATTTATTTATTTGATTATGGCTTGACTCTACACTGTATTTTTGTTACAAGTATGGAATTTTCAGCATGTGATATCGGTAGCCCATTTCTGCAGGCCGACCATTGATATCAGGTGTGCGTCAGCAGGGGATCGAACCCCGGACCATTTGCGTGGTCGGCGAGATTCATAACCGCTGTGCCACCGACGCACATCATTTCAATGATTCTCTAAGCGGTGGAAATTTACAACAGACCAATATGTGTGCAAGTATATTGCTGGTACTTAGCTTGCTTAGTAATCTTATTACAAACGACACTCACTCACTGACAGCACTGAAAGATGTAGTGAATCCATCTTCACCTAACCAGTAGAATTCTTCCTGAGGTTTCACTCTAGACATTATGATTTCACCCTTACACACAGATTCTCCAAAATATTTTTTTCAACTGCCATGTTACAATTTTTGTATTTTAACAGAATTATCAGAGAAGATGGGTGACGAGAAAGCTGCAATGAATTCAAGAATAAGAAATCGTGAATTTCCAGAGTTGGACAAATTCTCGAAAAGAGTAAGTCACTTATTCATTTGGTTAAGATCATTACTGATTCTAGGTGTTAGTGTTTCTTCTTGCGGTGTGTTCCATCACTCTAGTCGTAACACTTTGTATGACGTTCATGTATGTTGGCATACTTGTTTAATTAACGAATTATCTTCCAGATCTATGACAGAATATCTGATGGTGACTGCCTTGTCATATGTCGTCCTGTGTGTTCATCAAACAACCAATTAAACTGAGTCAATTTAATTTTACTTAATGTTATTATGTGTTATATATAAATATTAGCTGTTTTCGATTAGATTGGGTAAATTGAATTTCACTGTTAGAGTCGTTTACAAGTTGTCGTTCGATCAAGTAGTCTTAATAGATAGATTTACGATAGTAACGATATTATAAGTAGCGAGTCAATTAACTTGGCTTATGTTTTTCCTCTAATCTGTCTTGATATTCTCACATCATGTTAGTTTCTTGAATGATTTTCCGGTAAACATTCTACGTAAGGGAGTTAAGACAATCTGGTAGCATCATTGAGTTTCTGCTTTCGGAGTTTCTTAATTCTTCTTTTCTACCAATTCTTCTTTATTCCTACGCAAGAGCTTAATCGTTCCTTAGCTACTTAAGAAAGACTTCTGACACTTCGAAAGTCACTGAAAGCTATCAGTAGGACGCATGCTTAGACAACTAAATATAAAACCTTCAAAATACCTTATATTATGAGAAAAGTATAAGGCATGACACTAACAATTAACTTAATATGAAACTCTAAGTTCTTTTATTCCTTTACGTTCCCAGTGGAACATACCGGTTCAAGCTAGAGGCTTGAAGTTTCGGTAGCAGTGGTATTTACTTTTACGGAATGGGGTTACTAGCATCATGCCCAATCTTCCCCGCTTTACCAGACATATTACTGGTTTAGCGAGGTTTAGGAGTGCGTCAGTGGCCGGGGATCGAACCCCGGACCACCTACGTGGTTGGCCAGCATTCTACCGCTGTGCCACCGACGCACTATGAAACTCTAAGTAAGCGGCCCTTTTTATTCTTTGTTTCATTATTATTATGTTGTGGCCAATATTTTCAAACAAATTTCAATTTTAAATTCACATTGTTATTTGGAAATAAAGTCAAGCTAAATGCCCTGTCAGACTATTACCCCTGTACCAATCAATGAGAAAATTAGATGCGATATTGCATACATGCTGAACATTCCATATCTGTTTCAAAAGAATGCTTTAGAATGGAGTTATTGCCATTATTATTATTAAGTCGTGTTCGAACTTAACACACGACAGTGGAATAAAATATTAAACTGACAGGAAGCATAGAATTAAGATGTGCCAGCATCTCCTCCACAGAAAGCTACATGCATTCACAAAATAGACACACTGTCGATCTGGTTATTCCACATTCAGAGGGTTCACTACAGTATGACGAGAGTATGACGATAAGTAGTAGGATAGCTGGAACTTCCATTTTATGTGTCACTCAGTGTAGTATGTTGTAACATGTTGTGCATTTGGTAAAGAAGAAATCTGAAAGAATAGAATTTGTAGCGAAAATACAAGTTGAATCATCTACCAGAGTATTAGTAGCATCACATGTAGTTTTCAGTTACCAGAAAGTTTTCACTTAAACGATCAACTTCCAAAAAACGTTAATACAGACAGTGGAATAAAGTTATTGTAAAATGAGTAGTGATAACGATTTTGCTCTCATTATTTAGACATTTTAGCATGAGTTTTACATTTTTGTATTGATGTTTATGTAACTGGTGTAATTTACGATCTGGACATCATTGATTTCCTTTACATTTCAGGGCTGTTGTTGATGTCGCGGTAGTGTATGTCCTCGTGGTGTCCGCTAGAATAAGAAAACAATTCCCCTTGAATTTGTTGTTGACGATGTTACATGTATGCAGTCGATGTATTTATTATTCATGTGTATATGTAAATGTCAGTTTTGTCGGCTTACTATTGCGTGCAGCACTGAATACTTTTGTAGTACGGAGTATTTTTTTTACCAATTAGTTTGTTCTGCTGAGAATTAAAGATTAAAGTAGGTAACACAAGATGTCTGGAATTTCCCGGCCATAACATGGTGTCTTCATATATGCAGCATAAAATATGTTGTACGACGGCATCTACGGAACAGCTGAATCCTGGATAATCATGAATTTGTCAGTCTACTTCACAACTATTCATTAGTTATTCAGCAGGTTCCAGTGAATTCCCTATTGATAATAAAATATCGGTGTAACAAATGACGAAATCAACTACCCGAAGTCCCGTGTTCACCGTTAGTAATCCTAGCGAAGAGTTATTTAAGATTTGTGATCTGATGGTATTTAATTTCAGTTTAATATGCACAGAGCATATTATGAGTAGCTTCCATTATAGATAAAATTTTATTTTGTTAAAACACTGGGTGATTTATCAAAAAAAAATCTTATCCATAATGGAGTTATACTCTACCACTTTGCCCAATCAATAAGTAGCCCGTCTGATAGGGAGGTAATCACTTAGCTTCGAAGAAAAACACTGGCGAATTGTTTGACTGGACCCTAGTCAGTAACTAGTGTGACGTGTTGAGTCCTTTCGTTGGTGCAGACTGAATTCTATTAGTCAGTCAGGTTTGTAATGTGGCCACCATTCTAGGTAGTTCGCTATCACGTTGCACTTTGATTTGACGACATTTGATGGTTGGAAGCAGTCGACAGGAAGCCTTGCTTGACCTAGGTTTCGTGGTATTTGGCATTCAGTAGTCAGCAGGGCGTATCTGCAACCATGAAGGAACTCATGTCTCTTCTGAGATTCGAAGGAACGTTACCACCACTGAGCTATTTGGGATGGCGATTGACCTCCTGTAGGAGTGTACTGGATACTTTTATTGGACACTAGCCAGTAACTAGTGTGATGTGTCTAGTCAACTAACACGAAACCTAGGTCCAAGGCTTTCTGACGATTGCCTCCAACCATCTAATATCACTAGTGAATTGTGTTGGAATAAAACAGAAACTATAAAACAAGATGTTATTTCATTGACGTAACAATTTTCTTCAACAGTACTTATTACTCATATGTATTTGTATCAAATCATACTTAATCCTGCTCACCTGCACTGAGAAATTTTTCTCATAAGACTATCAGATTAATTATTTATTAATACGTATTTTTAGTGTGTAATTTTCTGTTTTTCAGTCTGCTTGCCTAACTGTACTCGCAGAAGTTGCATTCATTGGAAGAAAGATTATTTGGGTGCTTTTCGTGTTGGCACTAGCTGTGGCGATCTACACGACATGTATAACAATGGGTGCCAGGTTGAAAAGAGAACTACATGTGGGTACCGTCAGAATGCTGATAGGCTACATCATCTTCTCAGTTGTAATCGCCGCTGTCACACTTGCAGTTTACTCTTCGACTCAGTATGTAAGTACGTTGTGGAAATTATTGTTTATATTTTTACAAGAAATAGAATATGTAAGTGAATATTTCTGGTTCAAGTATCAATATTATTATTATTATTCTTGTATCCTTTAATTCCTAGAGGAAATAGGGCTTCAGCCGTGCGTCTCCATTGCGTTCGGTTCTCTCCTAGAGTCTTCACCTGGCTCCATGTCTGCCCACACGTTTTCATCTCCCCTTCACATGACCTCCTCCAAGTCACCCTTGCACTGACGACCAACTCGCCGCTTCCCTTTCGGGTTCTACTCGAGCAATGGCTTGTCTAGTGATGTCACTTGATGGTTTCCTCAGAGTATGGCCAGCCAATCCATCTCCATTTCTTCCTGCTTATTCGTTGCACAATCGGTTCATGGTTAGTTTGCTCCCAGAGATCCCTGTTGCTGATCTTTTCTGGTCATCCGATCTGGAGTTTTGAGCGAAGACCGCTGTTGATGAAGGCCTGTAGTTTGTTTGAGATGCTCTTCATGACGCGCTGGTCAAGTCTCTGATCCGTATAGTAGTACTGACTGACTTCACATTGGAGTTGAAAATCCGGATCTTATTTTTGATGCTGAGTGCTGTTGACTTCCACACAGACTTGAGAGTAGTGAAAGCTTGTCTTGCTTTTCCAATTCTTGCTTTGATATCCTCGTCAGTTCCACCTGTAGTTGAGACGATGCTTCCCAAGTAGATAGGTGAAGGAGGTTGTTTCTTTCAAGCTCCTCCCATTTATGCTGATTGTTGTCTGTTGTTGTTGCTGTTGGTGGTGTTGCCCAGGAATCTTCATCACCACATCTGTTTTCACTATGTTCACCTGAAGTCCTGTCTTTGATGCTTCTTCTGCCAACTCACAAGTATATTCATTTAGTGACTAGTGTGAGTTAGTGAGTCACTGATGCGAATTAAACGGGCGCAGATAAGTATTTGTGCGTCGGTGGCAAAGCGGTTGAGACGCTCGCCAACCATGCACGTGATCCGGGGTTCGATCCCCGGTCGGAGCACTCCTTTACCTCGATAAGCCAGAACTAAAACTGGTGAAGAGGAAAGGTTGGGTATGAGGCTAGCAACCCCATCCTGTAAAAATAAACACTGCTACAGAAACTTCAAGCCTCCAGCTTGAAGTCCTATGCTCCACTGGGAACGTGAAGGAATAAAAATAGAAAAAGAGTGGTATTTAAACCATTCATTATTCAATGTCGCATTTATCTCACTGTACACAGAAATGTAAATGTGTAATAATCCGACTGCATATGCAATTTATTCAATAATATATTTACAATTTCTTCCTACAATGTAGTATGCAGAATCACCAATGATTCTCGCAGCTGGTATGACTGTTTTACTAATCCCCGTAAGTCATCATTTTTGATAGTTTCATGCTGCTACTTATATTTGTTTTAATAAGGCTGAGACCCATATAACCACTGGGTGTCTTATTCAGAAATTGATTTCCACAGCCATTGCCACTGATATTGAGAAATGCATGAATATTCTATCAAAAACTAGCCTACAGTTATTATTATTTTATTAATATTGCTAATGGCTTTGGTTCTTAGTGAGACATTTCACCCTGTTCTGTGAAGTAATGGCTGGCTCCAACATTATGCAAAAGTGTTCATCGTCTGCTCACGCGATCTTGTGCATATCATTTTAGAATTACATGCAGGTCGTCGCCATAAGTTTGGGCTCCACTTGAGTGATTGTCTTGTACATGGAGTCACGCGGCAGTTTCATCAGTGTACCAAATTTACAAGTTGTCTCTTCCTCCTATTGTATATTTGTTGGGCGGTAGATTTTCATCTGTCTTCCTACTTATCAGAGTCTCCGGTTACGTCTTATTTAAGGATATTACATCCTCAGTATGGAGTTGGCAAAGGCAGCTGTTGATAAATATATGTGTAAAACTTGGGCTTGGAACATAAAAACTTAGCAAAATCTAGATTGGTTGACCCAAATAAGACAGCAAGAAATCTAGAGAATAGTTCGGCTATAGCACTACATGCAGTCAGGCACAACCATAAAATAGGATGGGATAGGATGACTGTTTTAAAATCTAATATCACAGGCTATGGGGAGAGATTGATAACAGAAGCTTTGTTTATCGAATCAACTGCAAATACATGTAATGGGAATGATTCATCACCTGTTCCAGATATCTGGAAAATTCTACTACTCCTACGACGTTAAATAGGAGACAACAATGAAAACTATAAAACTCAAGTGTCAAAGTCGTGTGATCACAATTGATATGATTATGAACAATAAATTTTGTTCGAAACGTCATCCAGTAAATAATACAGTTTCTTCACTGTGTGATATACCTAATAAACAAACTAATATGGAACTGTTGATAAAATTCTACACAATGTTGGAAATGCTTTTGCTGACACTATAAATCGCTGAAACACGTAGAAGCACTGATTTTAGATCACTACTGAAGATCCGGATCTTTTTACTTATGTTCAATACATGTGTGATGATTTCCAGTCATCAGGCTCAATAAAAATCTAATTTCACTGTATACTTCGAAAAATTACTATTACGTAAGTATTTTCTATGAATTCAGTGTACAATTTCCGTCTTCTATTTTATTGTTCAGTTCGCCTTATACATCGGTCAGATAACAATTGGCCAACTGGAGTTCAGAGCATTTGATCCAGATTACTGTACAGCTGCAATGATTTTACATGCCACTTTCATCATATTTCTGATTGCACTCGGCATTGGATTTATACGTCCAAGGAATGTACCAATGATGTCAGACTTAATTGAACTGAGTTTATGATTTCCACGGTATTTCAGTAGGAAAATGTGCATTTTATAATTAACTGTCTCCAAACACCTTCTATACTGTTATGTAAATAATTTGTAATCGAAATGAATAAACGGAACTTTCTAATAAAAGTGAGTACTTCTGAAATATCACTGTTATCTTCCTTATTATTGATTTGGAACATTGTAAAAATGACTATGTTGAGCAGTACTGTCAGCTACAACGATGTGATGAATACTGAATTTTATATGTTTACTTTGATATATGGCCATTACACAGAATTGATCATTTCCATGTTTATTATTATTATTGTTCCCTTGGGTTCCTAGTGGAACATAGGGATTCAACTGCACGCCTCCACTTGCTTCTGTCTTCTGCTGTACTTTTCACTTGCATCCATGTTAGTCCATACTGTTTCAGTTCCTGTTCACATGATCTCCTCCATGTCACTCTTGGACGTCCCACTCGCCGCTTCCCTTTCAGGTTCCACTCGAGCTATGGCCTGACGCGCGATGTCAACCAACGGCCTCCTCAGCAAGTGTCAAATCCATCTCCACCTTCTCCTGCGTATTTGTTGAGCTTACTTTACTTTACTTCGGCTATCTCCTACGGGAGGATGAGCCGGCTTCATGAACATCTCGAATCATCGCTGCCCAGGAGCGGCGATCTGATGCAACGTTTTGCGACAGGGTTATTCAATTAAGAGAGTTCATGAAGTTTCATGGGAATTTGGTACGAGTGATGTCTCCAGAATCGCTCGGCCTTTTGTTTCAGAGTGCAGCTCTGGCCTTTACACAACCAAGTGTGACCTACAAAGCAGTAGGAGTGGAGTAGGGAGTCCACTATCCATTGGCAGCCGGTGACCGGAGTTCGGTTCATACGCCTTTTTGAATGGGGCCAAACATCCAGGACATCCAACAAGCCCTTTGTCCATACATCTGCCGGTGAACTCCAGTGAGCTTCATACGCCAGTCGTTGGAGGTTTGGAATCAGGGTTTAGCCATCTCCCCTAGACTGTCATTGGTTCTTGTTTTGTTTCTCCCCATAGTTTCTTGTTGGTGATTCACTCCGGCGGCCATCTGATCTTCAGTATAGAGCGAAGACAGTTGTTGATAAAGGTCTGCAACAGGCTGTTGGAAATATTCTTTGTGACCCGCCAAGTTTCTGATCCATCCGTATAGAAGAACTGACTGACTTGACGTTTGTATTGAAAATTCGAATTTTGTTGTTGATGCTGAGTGACGGCGGAAGATTTCCAGATTGGTTTCAGGTTGATGAATGTGTTTCTCGCCTTCCCGATTCTCGATTTGACATCCTTGTCCGTTCCTCCTGTAGTTGAGACAATGCTCCCTAGATAAGTGAATGAAGTCACCTCTTTCAAATCCCTCCCGTTGATGGTGATTGGCGCTGGATGTTGCTGATGCTGTTGTTGTTGTTGTTGGGTTATTTTCATAACCTCCGTCTTGTCTATGTTCACCTGGAGTCCTGTCTTTGCTGCTTCTTCGACCAGTTTGTCGGTTTCCGCGTGTAAGTCTTCGATTTTGTGAAATCCATGTTGCCTTTTGTATATCCCTGTGTTTGAACACACTGCCCCCAATCACCAAATCATTGAAGGCGCAGAAGTCTGAGAAGAGTTCACCATTTTCGTTCATTTCACCGAGGGCCTCACGACCCATGGTGAGTTCTCTTCCTGTATTGTCTCCTCCCAGTTTCGCATTCATGTCGCCCATCAGGATTTTGATATCGCTCTTTGGGACGTTGTCCATTACTGTTTGTAGTTGACTGTAGAAATCCTCCTTCTTCTCATGTTCTGAGGCGTTTGTAGGCGCGTAGCACTGAATGATTGTAACCTTCCTTACTTTTGAGTTGAACCTGGCTGTCATTATCCTGGAGGAGATTGGTTCCCACTGCATGAGAGCCTTAGCCGCTGTTGGTGACATCATGATGGCTACTCCCTCGGTGTGCTCATGATCGTCCTCTGGGTGACCGGAGTAGATTATTGTCTCTCCAGTTGTTAGTTGGCTCCTTCCACATCCGTTCCATCTGCTCTCGCAGATTCCCAACACTTCTATTTTATATCTCCTCATTTCTGCGGCTTCCTGGGCAGCCTTTACAGTTTCGTACATTGTACGAATGTTCCACGTCCCCATCCTTATTTTTGCTTTCATCGAAAGAAGGCACATCGGCTGACTGGCTTCCCGAAGGCCTTCACCAGCCCGCGTCATTTCACTTCCCCGATTCCAGCGAAAAATAAGGTTATTATTTGTACTTTTAGAATTTTTAATATGTTTGTGCGTTGAAGTTTCTGTAGCAATTTGGTTAAGTTTTGGGGGTGGAGTTGCTAGCACCACGCCTCAACCCTCCCTCTTTATCCGGGCTTGGGACTGGCTAGAATACTAGTGACCTAGTAATCTAGGCGAGGTTATTTCCATGTTTGGTTAAGTATTATTGTGATGAATGAATATACAAAGACAGAATACATAACTATGATGTTTTTATGAGTACAGTGAAGTATATTCATCATGAATACTTAGTAACCTCCATATTTGATAGGCTTTAAAAATATCTGATGAATGTCTCACAGTAGTTTACTTAGATGTCTTTGTTAGAAGGGTTCAGAATAGAATTTATTACTGAGAATTACACTGCGGAATAACTGCAATTATGATTTTAGAAACCACCACGTATGAATCATCTGAAAGGGAACTGTATTCACTGGGACATCAGAAAACTGCGTTTGGTATACTTCCTAGGATTTTATGGAATAATAGAAGTAATTTCTATGCATCAGTGTTGAGTGAAACAATTTCTTGGCGAGAAAGAATCAGCAACAAGAAACTCTGGTTGGGAACAAACCAGCCAAGAACCGATTGCTCAACAAATGTGCAGGAGAAAACGGTGATGGATCAAACATACACTGAGGAAACCCTTGAATGACATCGCGAGCCAGGCCCTCAAGTGGAATCCCAATGGGAAGCGACGAGTGAGTCGTTGGTGCGAGGATGACATGGAGGAGATCGTGTGGGGAGGAGGAGATGAGAGATTATAAGTGATCACTGACCACTACCATTTCAAATACGCGTTTCACTTGCGTAATAGACACATAGTAGTGGGTGCAATATTCCGACTAGAGATCTGTCCCTTCAGCTCATGGTGATCAAGAGTTTAAGAGAGAGATGACAACAGAGCAAATGACTTTGGAACACAAACACTAGGATTTTGATGTAGTTATGTTCTCTGAGCTGGATGGTTTATTTGCGAGGCTTTCATTGCCCTACTAGGGACTATGTTTAAGACTCTCGCCGACCATGCAAATGGTCCGGGGTTCAATCCCCTACTGACGCACATCCGATATCAATTGGTCGGCCTGCAAAATTTAGGCTACCGATATTACATGCTGAAAATTCCATACTTGTACCAAAATTACGATGTGGAATCAAGCTATAATAAAAAAAAATCTTCAGCGGATACTTCAATTTGAAGTGATCTTTTTATATTTCTCCACGAGTTTATTAGTCATCTCTTCTGATGAAAGATTCGGTTTTCCGAAATGGGAGAAGTCGAAGCATCATATTGAAGACTGTTAGATGAGGTGAACAACATTCCAGTCAGTATATTTGGTATTCAGCAATTTCTTAAGGGTTAATCTTACACGTCGTTCACTATTCAATCTGCCTAACATGCAAATTATAACAAGACATATAAGCGAACAATGAATACTATTTTCAACTAGATCTCCACTCAATCTTTACTTGAATGCACATGACCTGATGGCGAAAAATTCTGTCCAGCCAATGAAGGTAAATTTGTGAATCACTATGTCAGTTTTAAATCTTGCAAATATTTCAGTAATGATGACGACTATAACAACAATGGCAGTAATAATGGTTTCAGTGAAAACAAAATTACAAGCAATTGATATAGGTGCCGATAAGAATACTGAAGACACTATAAGTGATAATGGGAAAAATTCCATGATTAAACTGGGTAAAAATCTCACCCAATGAAAAGTTGAGTTATGCAAATGATGAATTGGATAGATAGAAAATTGGAGTTTAAATAAATCATCATAAAGGAAGTACGAGAGGAGTGAAGGGCGAAAGAGAGGGCAGGAATTTCCAATTAGCTCATTAGATTCACTCGGACTAACAAACAAATCACCTCTTGATTAGTTAAATGTTGTGTATTGTATTAAAAATGCAGTATGTGTTGGAGTAGAGCAAGAGATGAGGATCTAATGGAAAAGTGAACATTTCTTCGATCAATCTTTTTGCTTTCGACTTCATTTATGATTATACAGCTCTTGAAAATGATTCGCTTAGTGAAAAATCTATCCGTAGAGTAAATTTATCTGATATGCTCACACACAGTTATATATGGTGTTATACACTGATGACGGTTCGGGCACAACGCCTTACTCATAATCATACCAGCGTCCTCACACAACTTCCTAACTGCGTTTATACTCACGAGTAACAAATTGATTAGACATATGAATGAATAAATAGAGGTCAATATAATGTTTAATAGATATGCGTGCAATAGGTGACTAAGACATATAATAGGACATTGTGAAGCGTCATTACAATAACATGGGAAACGAGATGAGTACTTTCAGTAAAATAAACGAATAATATGTTAGCATGTGGTGACGTAAATCGAAATAAAACAGAACAAATTGGAGCATTACTTGCTATCCTTTGATTTGATTGGTAGTACTATTTTCCATATCTCTGGTATTGGTGCTGAGTCACTTCTATCAAATGTGTTAAGTGTAGATTCCATAAGCAAAGATTCGGTAATCAACCCGTCTGTCTGCTTACCTGTGTTAACCATTACAATTGTAACTGTGTCCCAGTTTAGTGTGTGGTAGTGTTACTGAAATCTGAGCTACTTATCTTCGTGGGCTCATTCAGTCTCAAAACTTGGCTAAATTCTTAACTATTGATAATCCAACCACCCCCGACCTATTATTCTGACCACTGTGGTAAACCGCCCAGTCACTGGAGGAGATTTTGTAAATTACATTATTTTGTCTAATTGGAGTTCATCATGAATTAGTTTGTCGGTCTAAATGTCACCTTAAATTCCTCTCCATTAAAAATACAACGTAAGGGTTCAGATGTCCCTTCCTTA